ATTACATTTTTGAAATTCTAATTTCTAAATCCAGCAAAAGTGCCAGCTTAGGCTGCATACGTTTACACAGAGTTATAAAGTGAAAGCTAAAATTTTGYGAATGCACACGGAAAGCGTTACTTTTAAACGCACATAAAACTCAAAAATGTATGAGTTGAAATAAGATATCCCGTTAACTGCAGCAKCAGYAGCTTGTACAGCCGAMAGATTTGATGTACTTACAAGTAAAAGTTATTCAGTGGGCCTAAGACAGCTGTTCYTCCACGACTACTAACCGCATGCAGAACTTGCAGTGTGTCGGTGTGCCTGATTGCCTGTGCACACCCGTCAGGGGTCACGCTCATTTCCATTTCATTTCAAKAAGTACTCAAGTACACTTGTGGCCCTGTCCGATGGGCGATTATACTCGGCACGGCGTAACCCCCCGGCTAAAGCTGCAGTGTGACCCCAGCTGCGCTTTTGGCTATTCAAAAGATTTKCTGTTCCTCCCTCCGCTGTCCTGAATTTTTCACGTGGCTTAAAATATTTGTATGTCACTGCTTTGGAGTATGTCTGTCCGTCGGTTGCTCGCAAAATGCTGTATGTGAAGCGAAAGCGCAGTGGCAGTTTAAGCGCCACAGACATTTATGTGTTTCTTCTACACCTACAAACACACCCGCACACACATGTACATTTATATGGACAAAATCCCTCACACAGCCGTCATTTGCATAACGGCGAACGGTGTGAGGCCTGTCTCTTATACACATCTAGATGTGTATAAGAGACAGACATTTATATGGACAAAATCCCTCACACAGCCGTCATTTGCATAACGGCGAACGGTGTGAGGCAGATGGAAAACAATTACAAGTTTTACTTGCACTTGTGCGCCTAAAAGTGCGCAATACAATTTGCATAATACCCAAGTCCACAGTCTCAGCCGCAAGAAGTGCAACCGCAACCGCAGCGGTGATAGTCACCAGCGCAAATKCCACTAACCGAAAACGGTGTAATGCAAATGAGTGCAAATTGAATATAGTTTAGCGTTTTGCTCGACATTTTGCTTTAGGCATTTGAGCGTGTCGTTGTTGTGTCAGCGGGGGTGGTGTCGTCAAGCCCCTCGTAAATAGCACAGCTGGACRAGAAAACGACAAGACACCTTGTAATATAGCTATGAGCGTATGCTATATTGTACGTGCCTTTAATAATGCCTTAGAAAGTTGCTCAGAGAGCGCGGAGTGAAAAAGAATTTGTGCAGTTTTTACTTTTATCTGACAGCCTTTGGATATCTTTTTAATAGGGTCATTGTTATATATACAAATATAACTTCTAATACTATAAATATCTCTAGATTTCGCTTGCAGAATTTTTCAAATCAAACTACTGTACTAATTCTACTAAATTAWTATTTTTTCCTATCGGCATGTGCTCTGCCCGTATACTTCAATTAACGCTCCAATTATTTCTGAAGACATTGTACCTAATTTAATTAGGTTAAAACGATTTTACAAATGCAGGCCAGTTATGATATCATCATGCTTCCTAAAAAGGAATGAAAKATATATACTTGCCTTTGTCAAGGATATTTCATTCCTCTCTTAAACAAGGTATATCTGCTKCAATGTCTGCTTCTTCTTCATTTGCCTAGACACCGCTTAAGCGGTTAGAGCCGAGTTTCGAACATCCCTCCAGTCATTCTTCCTTTTCACTGTTTGGCAATTGGAAATTACAAGTAGCCATGTCCTTTTCACCCGATTTTTCCGATGAAGTGGAGTTCTTCCTCTTCTAGCTCATCGTTCCATCGAATGCTATGCTCGCCATTTCCAATGCACAAAGGATGATAAACCGCCGCAGAATTTTTCTCTCGAAATTCGTAATGCCGACTGATCAGATATTGTCAGCGCCCATGCCTCTGCACCATGTAGCAGGACGGGTATAACGAGTGATTTGTAGAATTTGGTCTTCGTTCGCCGAGAAGACTTTACTTCAAATCAGTGACCTATCCAGTCCGAAGTAGCACCTGTTGGCAAGAGTGATTCTGCGTTGGATTTACAGGTTGATATTGTTGTTGGTTTTTATACTGATAGTACCGGTGAACAAAAAAAAAAAAAACCGTAAAAATGTGCACTTTTAAAATATTTTTTACTTTTTTTGTAAGTTATTTTGATAGTAAAACTTAATAAAATAAAAAAATAAAATAAAAATGTTTTTAAGCGTTA